TTAATCCTATCTGTGACCATTGCTACATAATAGGGATTCTTGTTTTCTTGCCTGTTGTATTTTTAGCCCATTCTAGGTGTGTTCCATGATGTACATAAGATTCCATACTTTTCTTGCCTCCTTACTGTTAGGCCTGGCAATGGTTCTTAAAACCCAAAAGAAAATGTCTATGGCCCTTTCTATTGCTAGGCTTGGTCACTGATTATTAAAACAGTAATTAGTATTCTGGCCTAGTGTAATGTTAGCCACAGCTGTACTTCTTAGAACTTGAGAAGGGCCACACAAGCATTCCACATGCCAATCCATCCTGTAAATAGTGATGACTCATTTTTAGAGGTCTTTCAGTCCCTGAGCTTGTGTGACACTCACACCGAATGGATGTGGATAATTATCGGCTCCCAGACTCACTCAGTCCATGAGCAGATACTTTCTGAGACTCACACTAGAAGTCTCCCTCTTTCAGTCCCCGAGTGAGCAGCGAGGGCGAATCACACTGGAGGCATCAATAGCCCTCGGCTGGAAGTCTCTTCCGGTCCCTGAGGCTCCCCAACTGAGTCTCAAACTGGAAGGGAATCCTTTTGGATCGCTTCCCTCACTGGTCAATGATGATCATGATCATTGCAGTCCATGAAACCAGAGAGACAAAAGAGATGCACTATTCCTGATTCCATCTGCACCGCCCCCCATGTTTAGGCATGGACCCTTGGTCATGCCTCCTTCGCCCCCTGCCACTCGCCTCAGCCAATTTACAGCCAGCTTTCCTCCTCCGTTGCCCTCCCGCAGCCATTCTCCACGGCCAGTGGACCCTTGGCCCTCTGCCCGTCGCCCTTCGGCCTGGACAATTCACCCAGACACCCTTTGTCCCGGGCCTTTGGCTATATGGAACAAATAGCCCCCAGCCATGGTGCTGCGGGGGCAGCATGCGCTGAGCAACCCCAGGGGCTGGGGAGGGCAGCTGTGATGCAAGATTTTTTTAAAAAAGTGCTCTGCTCTGCATGTTTTGGGACCTTGCAGCTCTGACCCCAGAATCAGAAGGAGGGGGACTGGCAGCAGAAGTAGCAGCCACCGGGGCCACTGGAGGGAGCAGTCAGACAAGAGTGTGTTGGGGGAACAAGGGAGGGAGGGAGGGGCACCTCAAGGGGGCTTCACGAAGACAGCTTGACTCGCAACTCAAACGAAAGAGGGGAGGAGGAGAAAGGCCGGAGCAGCTTCTGCCACAGCCAGGGAGGCGGGTTGGGGGGCACACAGGCAAACAGAGGGCTGGTGTGCTGCTGGAACTGGAGCGTCATGGGAGGGAAGCGTGGGCTAATGGGACTGCTTGCACCTTGAGAGGGAAGGGAGGGCAACTGGCAAGGACTGGGGCTGATGGGAGTGCTTGCACTGTCGTGGGAGGGAAGGGAGGGCAAATGGCAAGGGCTGGGGCTGATGGGACTGCGTGCGCCGTCGTGGGAGGGAAGGGAGGGCAAATGGCAAGGGCTGGGGCTGATGGGACTGCGTGCGCCGTCGTGGGAGGGAAGGGAGGGCAAATGGCAAGGGCTGGGGCTGATGGGACTGCGTGCGCCGTCGTGGGAGGGAAGGGAGGGCAAATGGCATGGGCTTGGGGGTTGGAACTGTGACCCGTTGTGGGAGGGAAGGGTGGGTAGAAGCCACGCTGGCCTTGCTGTTTGCCTGTGTGCCCCCCTAACCCACCTCCCTGGCTATAGCAGAAGCTGCTCCGGCCTTTCTCCTCCCCTCTTTGAGTTGCAAGTCAAGCTGTCTTCGTGAAGCCCCCTTGAGGTGCCCCTCCCTCCCTCCCTCGTTCCCCAACACACTCTTGTCTGACTGCTCCCCCCAGTGGCCCCGGTGGCTGCTACTTCTGCTGCCAGTCCCCCTCCTTCCGATTCTGGGGTCAGAGCTGCAAGGCCCCAAAACATGCAGAGCAGCCACAGCACTTTAAAAAATCTTGTATCACAACTCCCCTCCCCAGCCCCTGGGATTGCTCATTGCACGCTGCCCCCGCAGCACCATGGCTCCTGCCTGCCACCCAGCTGGCTGTGGGCTATTTGTCCTGTACAGACACAGACCCAGGACAAACGGTATCTGGGTGAATTGGCCGGGCCGAAGGGCGACAGGCAGAGGGCCAAGGGCCCACTGGCCGTGGAGAATGGCTGCGGGAGGGCAGCGGAGGAGGAAAGCTGGCTGTAAATGGGCACGGGTGAGTTGATGGGCTGCATTTCTTGGGCAAAAGGCTGCACTGCTGCTGAGGCCATCCTGACTCAGAGAGGTGATGCCAAGGCACTCCTGACAGGGGTCTTCCAGTCCCTGAGTTACTACTCTGTGAAACTCACACTGAATGAGTAGGCAGCCAGACGCTCCCAGGCTCGTCCAGCCTCTGAGCACACACTCTGTGAGACCCACCCTGGGAGGGAGACCCTTTCAGTACCTGAGTGAGCAGCCAGGGCGAGTCACACTGGAGGAGTCAACAGCGCTCAACTACAAGCCTCCTCCGGGGCCCTAGCTGAGTCTCAAACTGGAAGGGAATCCTTTTGAATCGCTTCCCTCCCAACTTCAGACCCTGAGAAATAATGTCAGCTGCAGCCAGATCTCTTGGAACCAAAAGTAAACCTGGTGACACACTTTAATACGAGGTATTGCCATCTCTATAAATTAATAACTAGTTTTTTGCTAGAGTGAAACATTATGTCCTCAAACTGGAAAATAAATCTGTGTGACCCTTTTAAATTTATTTATTTATTTATTTATGAGACTTATATACCGCTTTAAGTGCAAGCACTCTCTAAGCGGTGTATACCAGTAAGCAATGTATATATATATTTACATTGCCCCCAACAATCTGGGTCCTCATTTTACCTACCCCTGAAGGATGGAAGGCTGAGTCAATCTTGAGCCGGTGAGATTTGAACCGCTGACCTGCTGAACACAGTCAGCTAAAGATGTGGCCATTGAAATCCTGAGTAGATTTCTTGCCTGGCTTAATTTAGGCACGATGGTCGTTCTTAGAACCAGAAAGCATCTCAATGGCCCTTTTTAACGCTGGGTGTGCCGGTGATTGATAATAGATTTTATAGTTTTCTGCCTGGCATAAATTTAGCCACAGCCATGGTTCTTAGAACCAGACAGAAAACCTCAACCGCTCTTTTTAATGTCTGGTGTGGCCAGTGATTGATAAAAGATTTCTATTTGGAATAATTTTATCCACGGCTGTTGTTTAAAATGTGTAAGTTATGTTTTGATTGATAAATATTAAACATGACACACAGTATGGCGGTCACCTCAAGAATTTTGATTTCTTTTGTCACACACATTTGTCTTTTTGTTCCTGAAATTTCTGTTTGACATTTATTTTTTGTAATACAACTGAGTTTTACTCCTGATTTACTGTTGTTAAGTAGTTGTGATGCTTATGGTAGACAAGTTTTATCTTTTACCTGTTTTTATTTATTCTTTCTTATCACCATCTCTTCACCAAGAGATACCTGTTGTGATATTTATGTATTTGAACACTGAAGTTGTGTTTTCTTTCTTCTGAGAAAAATCTTTTGATGACAACTATTGTTCCTTTTACACCTCACCTTTTGTCAAAAATGTCATTTTAAATTAGTGAACTATTTAACCCATGGTATTTTATCATTGCTTTTGTAATTTTTGTGTGACTTTTTATCCTTAAAATATTGTATTATGCTTTTATGTATTTTATCTGTAAGACTGTATTATGTTTTGAATTGTTGTACAAACTGTTGCAACTGGGTAACGCTTGGAAGATATGATGCAGAACAATAAAGTATTTTTCGAGTCTTCCTTCACTATATTTGGGATCCTGCGGTCAGGAGCTTGGACCTGTTAGGCACCTTGTGCTCCTGCCCTGTGCCGAAATCACCGAGGATCATCTTTTGTAAGGATTTGGGGGTTCTACCAAAATAAACTTCCAATGAAGTTTTTTGTGCTTTATATAACAAATGTTTTAGATTTCTCTCTCTCTCTCTCCCTCTCTCATCTATTATCTATCTCACCTATTAATCATCTATATCAGACATGTCAAACACAATGCCCGGGGGCCGGATGCGGCCCGCAAAGTGGTTTCATGTGGCCCACGAAGCCATCCTGGAAACAGTGAGGGAGCCCGCTGTCTTGGCCCCAGCCGGCTGGGAGCCAATGTACAATTTTGTGGTGGCCATCTTGGTACTTGCCCCAGTGGACCATGCCTTGGCACTTGCCCCCGTCCCACCCTCTTCTGCCAGAGACCCTCAGATCTGTCCCGTTCCTGCCCAGACCCCCACAGGCACCCTTGACGCGACTGGTGTAGAACTGGGCACGCCCACCCAGTAGGCCACACCCACTCCATGCACACCCACCCAGTAGGCCACACCCACTCTGGCCACACCCACCCAGCCCCCTCCCCCCTCCGAGCAACTGCAATGCTGATGCGGCCCTCAGTGAAATTGAGTTTGACACCCAATCTATATTTAATCTATCCAGTAACCTTTTCTGCTGTACCTTGGGGAAAAAATGCCATGGACTTACCTGGCTACAGGAGGGCAGCATTCCCTGGTTTGCCCTCCTCAGTGCCCTATTAGAAATGAAATTTTAGCTTCTGCAATTATCTTTTGTATTCCCAGCAGCCTCTTCTGTGGCTGCTTTGAGCTTCCATCAAAGGAAGGAAATGAAAGAATAAAAATAAGCTACTTCAGGGCTTCTTTGCTAAACGTTACAGCACACGCTGGCCACAAGAGGGCAGACTTTGCTGCTTTGACTAAACTCAGTTTTATACGTGTTTGCTTATTATGTATATTCCTTTATCAAAGGTGTACTCTGAGTGCCCCTAGGAGTCAGCAACCTGCGGCTCTGGAGCCGCATATGGCTCTTTGAGCCTTCCCCTGCGGCTCCCAGCCTCCTCTGCCATTTGCAGACAGAGAGGGAGGCACTTGTGCTTCCCCCCTCCTCCCACTCTCTCTCTCTCTCTCTCTGTGTGTGTGTGTGTGTAAAAAAGAGAGTGGACTCACAGTGTTCTCCGATGAGCTAAAAAGCTTACTGGATGGCACTCCTCCTTTTGCTGCGTCTCTGCAGGAAGCAGGAAGGGCAGGAGAGAGCTAGCTAGCCCAGCTATGCTGACTCAGGAATTCTGGGAGTAGAAGTCCATGAGTCATAAAAGATGTTTTCCGTTGTAAATGGGTCCAAGTGGCTCTTCGAGTGTTTTGGGTTACCTACTCCTAGGGCCTAAGAAAAAAGCACTGAGTTGTAGGAATCATAACAAATCACCAGAATTCTTGATCGGTTTATGATGGAACGTGTCCATGAGAAGGCAAACTTTCCTGCTTTTACCAGCTGGTCTTGGGGTGAAGAGAATCAAATCCTGCCACAAGACCTCCCACTTGCTATTGGCACAGCCTCCTCAAAACAACACAACTCCATATTTTGAGCTGGAGCATAGGCTTGAACCAGAGGAGCCGGTCAAATTTCCCCCGAACCCTGAATTAACCACAAAACAACGGCTAAAAGGAGAATAGTTTCTCCTTTCTGTTATGTTTTTCCTTCTAAACAGTGGAAGAAAATACAGTGAGCAATTGCTTTGGGAGATCAACAATAACAACAATAGAGTTGGAAGGTCTTGTAGTCCAGCAGGAAAGCCTATAGTACCATTTCAGACAAATGGTTGTCAAATCTCTTCTTAAAAACCTCAGGCCCTACTCTTTCTTTGCCCAAAAGAGGGCAAAAAAGTCAGGCTTTCCCAAGATATGAAAGACTATGTTGTTGTTTTAGGGGCAAAGTCATCAGAACGCAGCCTTAGGCAGGAATAGCAGCCACACAAGGAAATCAACCTTACCTGCCAACTTCCAGTCACACATGCGCAGTAGTCCTCCACTGTCTTACACACCGACCTCCCCGGGATGGAACTTCCTGTCCGTTTCTGTGGCCGTCCTTCCACTTCCATTCAGAACGACCTTCTCGGCATGGCCGACTTCCTGTCCCTAAGCAGGCGGCTGGATGCCGGTACGAGAGACTAGGAGGCTGGGTCTCTTTGTGCCCTTTCCACTTCAGAGGGAGAAAAACAAGAGGCCAAATTGGGAACATAGAGATACAGTTCATGTTGGAAACATAAATTTCAGGGATTCTTTCTCAGGCTTAGTTGCCCCATCTGCATTTGTAAAATGGCCCTTGGGCCCCGTTTTACAGCCGGAGAGGGCAAGACAGGTTCAGGGAACAGAACAGTCGGGATTTTGAGGTTATTCTTTTGCATCTGTATTATTAGAAGCCTTGATCTTAATAATTATAGAGCAGGGCTTTTCAACCAGTGGTATGTGTACCACTTGTGGTACTTTGCCACATGGCCTGTAGACCGTGATTGCAAGTCAAGTGTAGCAGGGGAGGTGAATGAGCCTATCATGGCTTATTAATATTAATAAGATTTTAATAATAAAAAATAATCATCATCTTAAAACGCCATTAAAGAGGTTTATTTATTTTTGTGGCTGCAGTATCTGATTTGACAGAGTTTTCTGTCCCTTGGCTATAGGATGGAGGCCATTAAAAAAAGCCTACCATGGACTCCAAGCTAAAGCTATGAGACGGGAAAGTGTGCCCTCTTCTGGTCAAAAACGGGTATTGTGGCCACCAAAAGAAATAAACCTTTTAAATGGCATTTTAAATTCTCTATCTTTATTAACAGTATTAACACCTTATTAATAGGGCCAGGGGAGGCCCGTTTGCTGCAACGCAGGCGCGGAAGAAGAAATCTGCTTCAAAAGCCTTAAATCTAGTTAAGGAGGACTATGATGCCCTATTAATATTAATAAGGTTTTAATAATAAAGAATAACCTTAAAATGCCATTGAAAAGTTTTTTTTTTAATTTTTATTTTTAACCAACAAAACAGAACAAAGCAAAACATAACACACATACACATACAATATATACTCCTTTTTTTTTACAGCAATTACGTAACGGTAATCTAATATTTACATTTCCCCCTTATTCTTCTTTAGAATATTTGTCCTTAGAGCCCCATTATTTCTTATTTACATTTTTCTTCCTACATGTTCTACTTCTTACTAAGAATAATTCATATTATTATACATTATTATAGACATATTTTCACTTTTGACCTTTCCATATTTATTCTCCTCTATTGAAAAGTTTTTTAATGGCTCCTCTACCTGCTTCAACCACAGGATGGCACTGTTTTTTGACCCTTAATAGCATTCAATAACTTCAATAGATAAATAATAATAATCTTAAAATCATATTAAAAGGATTTATTTCCTTTTGTGACTGCTATTCCTTCTTTAACCGTAGGACTCAATTCTTCCCAGAGGGCTTGAGCGCTTTAGTCTCAATAAATGACTTCCCCTCTCCCAGGAAACAGGCGATGGGAGCATAAGGGGGCCTCCTGTGGACTTTCCTCGCTGTTTTTAAATATCCCTCGGCTACGACCAACCCAAGCAAAGCGGCTACCAACAGAATAAGAGACGTGGAGTTCCAGCTAGAGCTTAACAGAATCTGTCTCTGCAGCAAGAAAATGGATTAAATGGGGTGTGTGGGGACCAGCAAGGTATCTGAAAGACCTGAGCTTTCCTAAGAGTAGAATAGCATTTCTTAGAGCCAGACATTTTAATATCCTCTCCTTGGCACTCCTGGAGGGCAGGAATGATAAAACCCCAAGACTGACTGAAGGTGTACTTGTGGCAGTGGGGAAGTTGAAGAGCTCTCTCACACGTGTGTCCTGTTAGTCCAAAGCCAAACATTAAAATCAAAAGCTGTTCTTCTAAGGAACTTTTAAGAAGTGTGGACTCAGGCTCCTCGAATTCCAGTTGCTGAAGTTGAAAAACACTGATAAAGACACTAGCTCAACCCTTTAACATATTAAATCTAATCATATAAACCCTCTATTTCTCCAGCTCTTCTCGGTTTTGGTGCAATATGTCATTTTGCTATTGCAGTTATTAATATGGTACCTTCTATGTGCCTCCCAGATTTAAAAAATAAATAGGACACTCCCGTACCTTGGAAGAAAACTGATAAATGCACCATGCACACACAGAAAAAAAACACTGTGGCCAAGATTTTGAAATGCAAGCTTCCCTCATATTTTTTGACCTAAAATACAGACCTTCATATTCCCAAAGGTCAATTGCAAATGGTCTTATATACTTTTTTCAAGTAGGATCTTTGGGCTTCTTTCTGCCATGTGAAATAAATGGGACACTCTGCCAATAGCCAAAGAAAAATTTAAGATTAATCGGGGCATGCTAGATAAGGTCAGGTACAGAAGGGAAAACAAGGGGTTGGAGTAGAATGCTGTTTTAAAAAACCAACCCCCCCCCCCCAAGGCTTAAGAATGCTGGCAATGCCCTGTTTGTTTTAAGCGGGCGCTTATTGTAGAAGGTTTACTGTTGTGTTTTGCAAGTGCCACACGCTAGGTGGCGCTATTTTCCTTCCGGCTGTTGCTCTATCAAGAGGAGACACGCACAGAGGTATTGTTTGCTTTGCTTTTTTTTAGTTCTGGGCTGGCCTTCCTCTTGATCTCAACAAAGGTAAGTTAATAAGTCCTGAAAGGGTGACTTGTCCTGTGTCAGAAACCATTAAAATGGCTTGTTTGTGGCTTGAATAAACTTTGCTTTCTGCACCCGCTCTCCCCAGGATTCTCTCCTCTGTCCCCTCTTCCTGGGTTTTTAATTATCTTGATCGTAGAAGCTCCAGTGATCTTGCGTGGTTGTGTCAACCCACCAATAGCCTAATCCGGTGACTGCATTTCGCTAGGAGACTTGGGATTTCTATTCCTCCTCACGATCAACATGGCTACGATTGCTGTCTAGCAAGAGTAAAATGGAAAGCGGGGTGGGCAGCTGCCAATCATCTCAGAAATAAGGCAGTTGGTGATGCTTTAGCCAAACGGTACTTCAAAGCCTCCAGCTCCTGAATTAAAAGATTATCATGTTATCAAACTAGTAGAGACATTTAAGCAATGATGGGATCTGCTCCGTTGCTTCAATCAGTTCAGTTCATCCAGTTGGAGCACCTGGGATCGGAGGAAACTTTCAGATCATCTTCAGAGGGTGCCACCAACCCCTGCATTGCAGGATCACGATCTGCAGATCACTGCAGTGTAAATAACTTCCCTTGTTTCACCCCCTGTCATTAGCATCCTGAGAAGCACAGATAAAGTTGAATTTATTTATTTTCCTCCTGCAGCAATAGCGACCATGAAGTCCTATCAGAAGCTGACAACAGACGTGTCTCAGATCACCGAGGCGGGGGAGGATGGTGCTGATGGAAAACCATTGTGCCATCAGAAGTTGTCGGCTTGGTGGCTAGGTGGGGGCCTCTTGATGGTAGCCACCCTCCTAAGTGGGGTGACCGTTTGGGTTCTCGGGCAGATTTGGTGGGATCAGCATGGGGTTCCCCTCTGGTCAAAATGTACCTCTGTGCCAGAGAACCATCGCTTTGACTGTTACCCGGAGAGAAGTGTAATTGTGACGCGAGAACTTTGTGAGAGTCGGGGGTGCTGTTTTGTTGATGGCAAGAGGCCCCTCGATAGAATAAACGGAGTTCCATGGTGCTTTTATCCCCCTGATTTTGCCAGCTACACCTTGGGGAGCACGAATGAGACTGACCTGGGGCTGGTGGGTTTTCTAACCAGAGAAAGAAAGACTTATTATCCAAAAGATATTGAGAAGCTGCAACTCAGTGTGGAGTTTGAAACAGACTCTCGGTTGCACGTCAAGGTGAGACATTGGTTAAATATTCTTGCAGCCCTTTCATAATGGTGTCTTTGTTTCCGTGGGATGCAATGTTTATGCTTCTCTCGCTTTTTCTAGATTGCTGATGCCATCAACCCTCGATATGAGGTGCCTCTTGATGTTCCTCAAGCCACAAAGAGAGCAGAGAACCCTCTCTATTCCGTTGAGTTCTGCAAGGAGCCTTTTGGCTTGATAGTCAAGCGAAGAGTTTCAGGGACAGTTCTGTAAGCATCCCCCCCCCTTTAGGTTAGTGGTTTTCTCAGGCTGTCTTTCCAGAAAGATGATGTTGCCTGATGCCCCCCCCCCCTGTCAGATTAGTAATAGCCAAGAGGGGTTGCACAATAGCTCCATACCCTGCTTCTGTATTTTTGAAAAAGAGGAATCCAGATATTGTTGTCGCAGTGCTGTGTTTCCTGCGTTGCCCTCCAGTGCTTTTGCCTTCATGAAGGACAGCCAGTCAGGGACCATAGATGGTCAGAAGGCCCCCTGCTCAACATCTGAAAGTTTTTAGTAAAGGCAGGAAACTTCCCCTGGGATTCCTTACTGCTTCATCTCATAGTTGTGGTCTTTAGGATACGTCACCATAAGACAGGCAGGATCCGTTCGTTGTCTCTCAGCCTACACCAAGATTAGCCCATGCTTTGCAGCATCTCGGGCTTTCTCACTAACTCAAATTGAGGAAACTCTTTTCCTGGTCCAAAGCTACAGATTTTTTTATTTATTTCCCTGGACTCCTCGGTCACTTTAGTCACGAGCGATTGAGGATCTAGTTGCTAGCTCCTGTGCTCCTGTTGTTTTTCAACATTTCGTTGCTGTCGTCCTGAGAAGCTACCCCTGAGCCATAAAAACTGACAAAAAAAAAATTCAAAAAACCCATTACCTTTCTCTTAATTGGGATGTTTCCTTTTGTAGGTTGAACACCACAGTGGCTCCCCTGTTTTTTGCGGATCAGTTTCTCCAGATTTCCACTGTCCTCCCTTCTACGTTTCTTTACGGGTTGGGGGAACATCAGAGCGACCTCCTACATAATCTGGAGTGGAACATGCTGCCTCTATGGGCCCAAGACGTCCCTCCTTCAGTAGGTTTTATGCTGGATTTATGAGATGATTTTGAGTTGATTTATTTTAGGTAGTGGTTGGGGGGGGTTGTTTGTTTGTT